GCATCCCCAAGCAACCGCAGTATAATCCTCCCTGATGATGGCTCCTCCCTTCCATTGGGTATACGCCTCCCTTATAGCCAACAAAAACTCTATGAAGGAGTAAATATATAAGGTACCACCTTGTCCTGCATTCAAATAAAAGTTAAGTACATTCAGAAACACCCTGATGAATTGGGGCCTAAAGGGACTATTTCCTCCTCACCTTGTAAGGACAATAGCTAGCCAACTTTGTCTCATACCTGCTATCTCTGCAGTGGTTTCCTGCTTTAATAAAGGTCCCAGCTTCTTATGTTTTCAAAAATAAGTCTCTATGATTTTCTCTTAACTGGACTGAAGAATATTTTAATTACTAGTATAGATGGGGCACAGTAACTTTTCATACCAAGAAAAGAACAAAAAGGTAAAGGATGATAGTAGCCTAATGAGGCACATGATAGCTATCTGGTGTCTCTTCCATTTTATCTGAAAATAGACTCTCATCTATGGTAGTAGGCTTTTCAGCACCAGTTTGAAAGGATAAAGAAAAAAAATCTCATCATCTGTAGCTACAAATAGTTATGTAGTTCAGCATGATCTTGTATATTAGCAAAAATACACATTCCACCTGTAATGTGTTTTAAATAAAACATACTTTTTTGTAGTCTATATATTCTTCTATAGCTTTCAATAACTAGTCCTAAGCAAGGCAACAGGCAAGCAAGAAAAAAAAGCCTGCATCACCCCCTGGTGGCAAATCCATTACAGAAACATGCAACCACTTAATGATTAAAGGAATCTTAATCAAGTCAAATATGCCCCACCCCCACATCCCAATCCTGCAGAGACAAACTTTTAATAAAAAGTAAGGCCAGCAGGAACTGACTCAGTTTAAGTCTATTTACCTACTCTGTAGGAATGCTGGAAGAATTTACATTTGTAAACAGGTTAAACATAAGAAATGCTAAATATTATTCTATTATTCTAATTATTGCATAAAATCAAGGTACAGGTTGATGGCACCTCCTACACACATGTTGCTTTATAAGCAAAATAGGAACTATGAAGTTAAACAGTATTCTGGAAGCTGTAGGACAGACCATTGATTTAACAATACTGTACATATGGAAGGGGAAGAGCTGATGCTAAAGCTGTTGCCTTTCACACTTCTTACCAGTACCAAAGGCTAATCATCAAATAGGTTATGGAGAATAAATTACCACCTCATCTGTTGCAGCCAATTTCTCCCTACATAAAGGGCTTGAGGGCCTGGGCAGCAGCAGCATATCACGGTTAGGGCTAGGGACAAGGCAGAATTAACACCCCAGCAGTGTTAAGTTTTGTGGATAGAGAATAATCAGGTGGCAGTTAAACTGAACACAAGACTGTTTGAAGTAAAGAGCGGTACAAGACAATGACAGCAAATACAGAAACCAGTCCCAAAACGCTCTTACACAAATACAAAACTTAGTCTATACAAGTAGGTCTATGGATGTCAACACAACTGTAGTCACATACTGGAGTTACTCGAGTGCTCCACTGTTTGCAGGATAGGACTCTAATAATTCATTAGAGCACTCGGTTATCTTGGTAGCTAGATGGTCATTTGAAAGAAGCAATGAATGGAGAAATAATAGACCTGACTAGCAAGGGAGGTCCAAGAATAACCCCAGAAACACCTTCCCAACATAATATATCATTCCTCTATACTCGTTTCCTTTGATAGGCTATTTAGAACACATCCGCACCTTGAAATCTGCAAACCTAGTTTACACCTTCTCTGGAAAGCATGAGGAAGTGCTTGCTACATGTAACATTACCATTTAACTAACATTTGCATCAGAGCAGGTCTCATTCTTGTTTTCTGTGGCGTGTGCTTTTTTCGGTTAAGATGTTGGCGTGACAAAGTACAGCTGTAGCTGTGATGGCCTAGACCAGTGAAAGACAACTTTCTGGCAGGCATGCCACAGATAAGTCCTGCATCTTTCCCAAGTGCTCCAATCCCCTCCTATGCCCAACCCACTGCTCCACTCCGTGTCTGATCTGCTCTCCTCATCCTGTGCTCCCTGCCTGGCTCGCAGCTCTGCTCCCGCACACCTGGTGTGGTGTTGCCCGTGGCCCCCCAGTGACCCGCGTGCCACACGCGCTGCCCGTGCCTCTGTGCCACAGGGGCCACCCCTGCCCCAGAGAAAAAGCGAGGCGAGGCATGCAGGCAGGGAGGACCGCCGCGTACGAAGTTTCCTCAGGGGGCGCTGGGGCAGGCGCCCCGTAAAGCCAAAGCCCCCAGTTTCCCCGGGATGGAGCCCAGCCGAAATCCGCGCCCACAGCCTCGGCCCCAGCCCCGCCAGACTCACAGGCCGCGTCCTCCTCGTCCCACGGCAGAGCGGCGACCCAGGCCGCCATCACCCGGCGCGGCCGGAGCAGACGCCCAACCGCCGCCGCCCCCTAACCGGCGTCTCCCCGCCGCGCGGTGGCGGCGCCGACCCGAAAGGGAACCGCGTCGCGGCGCGAGATGAGGCCTCCATTCGCTCAGCCAATCGGCCGCGGCGGCAACGCTCAGCCTGCCGGGAGACCCCAGCGCCCGCTGGGAATTGTAGTCCTGGCGACAGGCAGCTCGTCCGATCGGGGCCGGCCGGTAGGCGGGGGTGTCCCGCCCAGAGGGCGTCACCGCTAGTAAGCGGGTCTCCGGGACAGCGCGCCCAGGGCAGCTCCGGGCGGGGCTGCTTCAGCTGCGCCACGTGCAACAAAGCCTGCGCGAAAGGGGAGGAAGGGAAAGAAGAGGCGCTACAGGAGTAACCGGGGACACATCCTCATGGCACGAGCCGTCGAGCTCCTCTCGGGGGTGGGAACTCACGCCGTTCAGCGCCGATCAGGTTCTCCTTGTGCGGGGCCTGTGAAATGCCACGAGACCATCCCCGCCTGCGGGCAGCCGGCTGTACTGGAGCAATGGTGCCTTACTCTGGGGAGCATTGGGAGGGACTCAAGGGCCGGCAGGGAGGGGCCGCAGGAGCCGCGCACAGCTAAGGGGCGCTCCCGAAAGCGACTGGTGGGCCGTCTCCCGGGTCACGCGCTCCTCGCAGCCCGCCAGGGAGGCGAGGGCTGAGGAAAGCTGGGCCAGGGATCCTCGGGACACACACAAAAGCCTTCCAGCAAACGTCCTGATGCAGTGTAGAGCCGCGCGTTACAGACCAGGCAAAGTAGCAAGTCGAGCAGCTAAGGCGCATGCGCAGAGGGTTGGCCGCTATCTCGATAGGCCCCGCCCAGGATGGTGCCCCTCCTTGTCCGCCATATTGAGTGCGGCTCCTCTAAGTGGGCGGGGTTTCCGCTTCCGGCGCTCGCCGGCTCGGTGCGGCGGGCTCTGCGTCGTTAAAGTGGTTGTAGCGGTGGCGCTTTCACTTGCGGCCCAGTCTCGAGAGCGGTAGTGGTAGGTGAGAGGTGCCCGTCGTCGGTGGGGCCGGGACTTGTTTTCCCGCCCGCTCCGCCGGGTCGCGCTGCCCCGGGCGAGCGGCAGCTTCTGGGCTTGGGTGGGGGTCAGTTGCGGTTCCGCCGGTCCCTGCTGCGGTGCTCTTGCGCGGGCTGTGAATGGCCCGAGCTATCCCGGCGCTCATGCGGGCTGCTGGACCCCGCGGCGCACCCCCCACCCCGTGTCTTTGGCGAAGCCGAGCGGCCTCCTGTGGCTCCGCCACGGCGGAAGCGCTGCTGCGCCCGCGCCTGCCCCCTCGGCGGCCGTAAGAGAGGGGCTGCCGGGTCCCCACGGGTCTGTTATCTCTCTGGCGCTGCCTTCGGAAGCAGGCTCTAGGGGACGTGATACTGTCCCAAGCAGGCTTGGGATCTCTGGTGTTTCTCTCGACGCTCTTGAGCAGCAGTTCCCACCCTTTTTTGTTGTTTTTAAACGCTAATGGCCAGTGCCTCTCACTCCATCTCCGTGTGTGGGCACAGCCAGTCCTAGAGGTGTGCGGGACCGGGGCAAATCAGCCTCGGTGGGGCTGTTGGACCCCTGCAAAGGTAGGGCACAGCAGTGCTGCACCAACTTAATTTGGTGTCAGGGTCAAGCAAATACAGAGTGCCTGGGGCAAGCAGTAATTCAACAGATGAGGAGTTGGGGGTGGGGGTGGCGAGTGGCCAGATGCTTCTTCCGGGGCAGGGGACTGAGCTACCAGCTCCAGGTAGGCCCTACGGGAGGGGTGTGGCTGCTCTGCCTAGCTCTGCAGAGCCCCCCAAAGCATGGGGCTCAGGGTGGTCATCCTGATTCGCCCTGCCCAAGGGATGGCTCGATGTGGGGCATGGTGGGAGGTGTAAAGGGCTCTCTGGAAACCCTCCATGCCTCACAAGCTGGAGCTCTGCTAGCCTGCAAGGGAAAAGCCACAGTTTCCCATCCCTTTTTTTTCCTTTAAAGGACAATCCAATTTTTGAATTTGTTGATGACCCTTTCATATATTCTTGTGACTAACTTCTGTGACTCATAGGTTGAGAAACCCTGCTCTTGAGGACCAAGCATCTCCTTAGGGGAAGGCTCCTCAGGACCAAGGGAGAGGGCCTGCTGTAGGGCCACCTGCTGCTGAGGTAGCTCTTTGGCCTGAGCTATTCTTCAACAGGGGCTGGCAAGTGGCACACAAAGACATTCTTAATGGAGTTCTTTTGTTTCTAAATTGGAGCACCATGAGTGAGGGTCTTCACCAGTGCATTTTGAGGCAGCAACACTAGCTAGCAACATGTGTAATAATGTTTGGATACCAGCCAACTGGGAGAGGACTCTTGACCCAAGTTATAGGCTTTCCTAGCAACAAACCTTGACTGATGGACACGTGTGAAGCTGAGCACACTAACGCGCTATCCGGAAGAGATGCCATTACCAGTGCCTATTCTTCAAGTTCTCTCCTCTGTGCAGTGTGTTCAGGAAACTGATAAGGGAAGCCTGGGGGGGCGGTGCAGAGTAGTTTCTTTGTGTGTGTTCTTGTATCAGCTGTCCTGTCCGTTTAGATAAGGGACAGTAGCTGGCCTGGGGGAAGGGATTCTAACACCTCGTATTACCCGTATGAATATAAGCAGAGGTTTGAGGTTTTTCTAACAAAAGCAGAATTATTCTAACTTCAGTTCATGCAGGAGTTGAGCCTCCTGCTCATGTGTACTGGTCATGAAAGACCAAGGCCTAGGCCCTCTGTTGTCAACTGCAAATAGGTGATTGAACTTGTAGTAATACTTGGCATTTTTAACTTCAGATCTATCCAGACATCAGTTTGCTGATTCACTAAGGATTTCTTCAAGGAAGTGTTCTTTATTTTGCAGGAAGGGAAACTGACACATGGGTAGTTATGGCACACCTGAGGCCATAAAAACTTGCTGAGTTTTTTTTTTTTTTTTTTGGGGTGGGGGTTTTTGTGTTGGGGGGGTTTGGATTTTTTGGTTTTTTTTTTTTTTTTTGGGGTGGGGGTTTTTGTGTTGGGGGGGTTTGGATTTTTTGGTTTTTTTTTTTTTTTTTTTACAGTTTGGGACGCTGTGGCTTCTGTGACTGGAACAATTGGATCATGTTGGTTTTCTATTTCCTGTCCTTATTTTCTAATGGGAACCCTTCTCTATAACACAGGCTGCTTCTATCCGTCATACCTGTAGGCACACCCATCAGGCGGTATTGTTTAGACTAGTGGTTCTCAACCTCTTTTGTACCAGAAATCATTTGTAAACATTGATGGCCAAGCACCAGGCCATGTTGTGTGGGAGACATGGGCATCAGGTTGGAACTCTGCAAGGGAAAAGCCAAGGTTTCCCACATTTTTCTCCTTTAAGGGAGAATCCATTTTTAAGGTTTTTGTTCATGATCTTTTCGTATATTCTTGCAACCCACAGATCGAGAGACACTAGTTTAGACTTTGGTTTTAGTTGCCTGTTTCCTTCCCCTTTTCCTTACCTCCTGGTGCTTTCACAGAATTTTGCTGGAAATCAACGAGTTAGTCTCTCAAAGAACCTTATTTACTCTTTCAAAAATTGTTCGTCAGTTATTAAACGAAGGTTTCATTTAAGCCGGTCCAATAACTGTACAGTAATTCCATGCACACTTTTAAATGTGTTGGTAAGCCCTTCCTTTTTCCCAGAATCAGGAGAGAAATCATGCTTACTTCTGTTGTCAGAGTACAGCAACTTTGGGCTCCTGAAATTTTTCTCTGTCTAGATGTATAGATGCCTTTTAAAAGGACAATTGGTTGAATGAGCCTATTTCTGTTTTGAGAATTTCTTCTCAAAGAGGAGTGTTCTAGCTCCTTTGGCAGTCCCTCACAGTCAAGGATCGTTGTCTTCTGTGATTCTTACCTGTGTCTAAAGTTAGCATTATAACTAGTATGAAACCCTTGACGTCTTTTTACAAGCTTTAAGACAGTTTGTTCTAGCTCTAAGTGATATGGCCAGTACATTATTCCTTTTGAATGTTGTTTTTAACTTGATCATCAGTAGAAGTATAGGATCTTAATACTTGGTGACAAAAAGTGCCCTACCAGAAATCTTTTTACATGGGTATTTTTTGCGTCCTGATCAAGTCACTTTCTTAATTCCCTTTTGGGTTAAGTAAGTGTAGGGCTTTTTTAATAATGTGATGCTATAAGGAAATCTCTGCAGACCGTGAATCATTATTGCGGGTTTCTTAATTTTTTTCAATTCGAGCGTCCATCTGAAAGTACAGACACCAGACTTAAACAGTATTTTAGCAATGGGCTCATCTAATACTGTATGAAGAGGTATTACCTCCTTTCTATTTCTATCTGACATCAATCGGGGAAATAACTAAGTAGTTGCTGGTGCACAGGAAACTTTTAACTAAAAAATAGTCATAAAACTGCCATTATCTGAAATGTACATGAGACATCTGACCAGTTGCAGGTTGCCATAACCTTTCAAAGCCAGGGCTGTCTAGGAATCTGGTACCACAGAGTATCCAAAAAGCACCATAAGATTGTAGCTTGAGTATAAATACCTCTTAATAGTAGGGAATATTTATATAAAAAGCTAGTTCCCTGAAGTGTTTCCTTTTTATATATAACTCTAGTTCTGGGTTGTGACAAGTTTTTATATAGCTGCTCATTCTGATTTTTGTTTGGACAAATATTAACTGATATGGCTTTCCTTGAATAGAAACTTATTTTCTGTTAAGAGGGGAAAGGCAGTACTTGGACAGGAACAGTTAAGGAAAAAAGGCTCTTCCTGAAGACTTAAACATCTGTTTTAGTGTTTAAAAAAAAATAAAATAAAAAATTGAAGAATGAGCCAACTTTTTATTAGGTCATTTATGAGGATGAGTCATTAAAGATGTAAAAACTTCTCGTAGTGAGTTTTAATAGTGGCAAACTATGTGCCTTTTAGAATTTTTGCTTGTCAAGGTTGATCAAGTAACTTCCTTAATTTTATAATTTTCTAAATTGAGCAGATTTCGTTACACTAAAAGGAAACCAAATATAAATCCAAGTCTCTAGAAATATGTACATGGTGAATGCATTTTGTTGAACTGTTGTGTTGGATGCCTTACAGATTCAAAGCTTGTTGGCATTCCCTTATGATAGTCTGATGGTCTAAGAACAGATTATTCAAAATGCCATTGGGGCTTCTGGCATCTCAGAGGAAAAATGAGGTAACCAGTTAGACTGTAGTAAGTAAATAGCAGCAGCATTCCTGATGAATTAAGGAGCAAGAAGTACTACATCACTAGATATCTAGTAAAGTTAGATGGGATTTTTCTGTTTCTCAATAGAGGCCAAAAAGAGAATGTTTTAATCCAGTATTTTGGAGTAGAGTGTTGCTGAGGGAGAATTTTTCATCTCCCTTTCCCCTTTTTCCCCACAGTCATTGGGATCCTGGTGTTTCTAAACACAGAATACTATTTTGTGATACCTAAAATAGGTGAAAAATCAAGTCTGCCAAAGCATTTGCTGTTAAATTAAGAAATAAAGCAACAAAAGTTGCATGGAATACTATCAAGCTCTCCCAGAATACCCTGGGACTGCAACTTCTGCCTATTTTTGTGGGTCAGAACAAGCCTGGCAAATAATTTATTTGAAACTTTAAATTATGAGATGAAGTAGTAAATATTAACTTTTAAGATTATCCATGACAATGGGGGATATATAGTGTTCTTTGTGAAGCAAAACATTACTTTAACATCAATTAATAATAACAGAGAATTGCAAAAAAAAAAAAAGGGGGGGGGCAGCATGTTTGTGCATGCAATTTTAACCCTCTCCTATTTTACCAATATGTTTGAAGTGTAACCCAGGAAGGGAATTTCTTCAGATAAATATTTCAACTTTCTCTCATGTTTACCTTTTTTATTTATTATTCACGTCTTCTGTTGTTGTTTACTAAGAATTCAACTGTCTTCCCCCCCATCTATTGACTGCTGAACTGCCATTGGAAGCTCAAAACTCACTAATTACTAGTAGCCAGGCTT